TGGTCTGTGGACACTGAAGCCGCTGCTGATGCTGGTAAATGAACGCTCCTGTCAGCCAGGACAGAGGCATGATGGGATACCTCTGAGCTCAGAGCGTAAGTGTCGACAGGCCTGATGTGGTTTTGCTGCAGAGGAGGTTCTGGGACGGTGGTGGCGTCTGGGATGAAGGTCGGCTCGGTGTGTAATCTCAAGCCGAGAGAGCGCCGGCTGCTCAGACGGTTGGAGGGCCGAGGACGAGCAAGAGGCAGCTGGGGGGGGTCGGGGTTCACACTGGGGGCCGTTTCTACAACAGGAAGCTGTAACACAGAAAGTAACATTCATGGTTTCATTCAATTTCTGCTGTTGTCGCGTAACTGAGACGATTTCTGTTGCTTTTTTAATATAATACACTCACCAAGCGCTTTATGTTTTCTAGTGTTCGTTACCAGGACGTTGACAGTGGGAGACTGAATATTGTTCTGTTGTTAGCAGGTACACATTCTGCCTTTTTGTTTAATTTACATGTAAAATAATCTGTCAGTCTGCTGTATCCCACCTTTGTATATTTTCTTGTCACTGAAAACAATGACGGTTCACCGTGGCATTAAATGTAGTGTAGTTTATTAAAAAATAGTTGAATTAGCAGTCTCACCCTCTGTGATGAAGTCTGGCTGGTTAACCCTCCACAGGCCTCCAGACTGTGGTCTAATTTCTGCAACATGGACTCCATGCGGCGGATGCCCTCCTCATGCTCCCTCAGACACTTCTCCACTTCGAAAAAAGATGTTACAACAAAGTTAATAACACACTAAATACACAACAACACATGCTTGTTTTCTGTAGTTGAGATTCATTTTTAAGTCTTAATTATCTCACAGCACTTCATGTTATTTTCCCTCTGCAGTTGGACTCACTCATTTCTCTGTGCTCCTTCTCCTGCCTCTCCCGGAGCTGACGGAAGTATTTGGCAGCTCGGACCTCCTCGAAGGAAAATTCAGACCCTTCACAGACCAGTTCGTCCTTCATGTACGCTGCCACCGTCTGAACGCTGGAGCCCTGACCGGAGGGAATCGCTCCTGAGGTCTCAGAGCGGGAGACTCTGCAGAGGAGAACATAGATCAGAGGATAATCGTATCTAGCTTTGGTGGACGTATGTTTCTAAAGCACTTTACTACTTTCACAGTGCACACGCTGTGCTGGTGACCAATCAGGAATCATACCTGTAAGTCTACATGATAAAATATGTAAGTATGTAAGTCTCATTTGGTCCGATGGGCAGATCGAAAAATTCACTTTCAAATCATTGACGACAAAGAAAATCACATTTGAGAAACTGGACCTGGAATCTTCCTGCTGATTCATTTTCTGTTGATCAATAATTGAATATATATCCAACATGGTCACAGACATGACAACTTCTCATGGGCAGCACCGGTGTGATTATTAAGGACAGATCCTCTTTTGTTATGTTGTGTCTTTATTCTGTTTCTCTGTTTTAACATCCTCTTGTCATCATTTGTTTATCCTTCAAAACATTTCAGTCTTTAGGTCGCCACCTGCTGGCCGACTAACAGAACCAGAAACTTCATCTTACAGGAAACAAACAGTGGTTTTCACTTACATGATGGTTGTTTTAACTGCAGCAGGTTTGGACAGACAGTCCACGGAGGCCTTTAACAGAGGACAGAGAGTAAGTGGGTTTGAAAAGACAACAACAACTCATTAAACAATTGTTGTGGAAATTCACACACACCTTGCTCTGAGTGGCTGGTTCTCTGTAGGATGACATCTGATTGGTTAAATTGGAGTTCTGTAAAGGATTTCGACCTCCTGCTTTACAAAAAAAACAGATAAATAAAAATCAAACAGCTGCTGACATGTTATATTGGACATTTTAAAGAAACAAATAAGTAAGCAAGTAAATATTCTCTCACCTGATCCTGGTGTCTGGCTCCTGGTTCTTGTTTGAAACTGCCTGCAGATCAGATTTACTATTTTTTAGCAACTCAAGTCACTTTTATTCATATAAAACATTTTAAAACAACAGGAGTTGACCCAAAGTGCTTTACAATCCCATCAAAGTTCTTGTTGTGCAGATATGGTGAGATATTATTCTAACAATAACTGTATTATTCTAAAATGTTAAGTACACACTTAGACAACTATGTAACGTATGTAATGATTAAGTGTAAGACCATACAGTAAAGTCTGACATTCATACATTCTAAATTAGCTTTTCAGTTTTGGCTGCACAAAACCTTTAAAAAACTATTGGTTAGATAAAGATAGGTGAAAACCTTTAGATTTTGGACACAAGCATTTTTGCCAAAAAACAAACAAACCTCCTCATGTCCTAGTAAAAAAAAAAACAACAACAAATCAACAAGATCAATAAACTTGGTCCAGACTAAAGTGTACTTGTAGATATCGAGAACTCAAACAAACTACCCTGTATCACAGTATCTGTGTTGTTACCTGTATTCGTGGAGAACAGTGTCAGCTGGCTGGGCTTGGTTCTCCACTGCTTTCTGGTACACAGCATCGGCCTGTTCATTAAGGCCCCTCTGCTCAAACTGCTGTGCCCAGGCCATGTACAGCGCAGCAGTCCTGGTGCCGATGCCCTTACTGAAGACATGACTGTACAGAGCTATGGGGTCGGAATAATAACTGGCCTGGAAGACAGTAGTTAAAATGAAGAAAAATAGTCATATGAGGTTTCAGCAGTCTGAAAAGCAATTGAACTCGGTTTGCGTGATTCCTGCCTGAGAGTAATAGTTGACTCAGACTTACACATTTGATGCAGTAGTTCACATATCTGATGTCATCTGCGTATCGCTCCACGTTCAAAAATCTCTGCACAAGAGTGTCAAACACCACAGACATCCCAGTGCCACTGTCTGCAGGTAATCTCTGCTCCAGGTACTCCACAAACCTGAGAACATATACAGTGAAGTGTAAACTCAGCTGATCAAATGTGATGATTTGCTGCTTTTTTCTGATAATTATTTAAATAATCACAATTACAAAAATATTGGTTGACAAAACAACCCGTTTGAATGCCTCACTTTGGGTGACAGGAGTCGTTTTTATTGAGATAGTTTAAGGGAACTTCCATGATTATACTTACATCGTTTTACTTATGTTGGGTTTTAAGTGCAGGTGTTGTAATGGAGTATTTCCACATTGTGGTATCAGTACTTTCACTTAAAAAACGTCAGGTTCACGTTTCTCAGGTCAATCTAAATCATTAGCGAGCTAACGCTAACAGTCAAAATGAACGCTACTCACTTGTCCCATGGATCCAGAGGGTCGTCTCCTGTGTATGAGCTGAATCTGCTTTCAAAACACCTACGAAGTAGAAGTATAGATAGATTCAAGAAAATTGGCATCACGTCTGATAGTTTTGTCTTGTTTAAATTAGTTTAAAAAAGAGCGATACATTCGCACCACTGAAGTTAACCACTAGCAATAAGCTAACACCGGGTACATCATGTCCAATGCTGACTTACTGTAAATACGTGGCGATATCCATTTCGCTTTGAGTTTAAAAGGTCGTTTATAATCGTAAACGTAAAAATAGTTATCTCTGGACTCTATCAGGTGGTTGGTTAACTTTACAAACACATTTCAGCAGAGAATTTGTATCGCTAAGTTTGTTTGTCTACTCCGAGTTGCGTCTGTTGTTCCTACGACATTTGAAATTTCGCGCTCAGCCAATAGCAACGCGAGCGTTCCACAGTGTGTCAAAAAGCCACGCCTCCATGATGTGACGACACATCCGGGGTAAAAATACATTTAAAAAAATACACAAAAATAAATAAAAAAATAAAAAAATAGAGAAAAGCACTTCACCTTTGGTCAGTGACAAAGAACTAATAAAGTGATGCAACTTTTTTTTTATTGATTGATGTAATGATTATTTTCTCAATCAACTAATTATTTGTTGTGTTTGTTACAATATACTGAAAATGACCTTTATAATTTTCACTTTCCAAGTTGACAACTTCAGAAAATCGCCGCATTTCAGAAGCAAAGATTGTTTGGATCTTTTGATTGAAAAGTGACCAATAATCAATTGACAAAGTCATTGCCAATTAATTTTCTGGCATTCAACTAATCGACTAATCATTTTGGCTCTAACAGAGTTTGACAGTTTCTAGGCCTACATGTTATTATATCCAGTTTTGGAGAGGTTTAAAAAGGTTTTGTAAATTAAAAAAAAAATTATAAAAGAAGTAAATTTTCAAAAACTCAATTTTAATCTTTTTTGTTTTTCTTCTTTTATTTTTATTTTGCATTGAATATTGTATTTTGTAACTCGGAATAACAATGTATTGTTGTTATGTGTGTATGTGGGAATGTTTTAAAGTTTTAATTAACTGCAAGTTGGGCCAAATGCAATTTTCAATAACAATAAAGAAGCAATTATTAAATAAACTATTTACCCAATAAAATCGAAATATTTACTTATTAAAAAATAAAAATAAAAATTTAAATATGATGTGAAAGGTCATGTTCGGTCGTGTTTAGTCCGGTTTAGTTTCTATCACTATTCGTCTTTTCCGGTTAGCTTTCAAAATAAAGGACACGGCTCGTAACGAAAATGAAAATGAAATCATCGCTGAGTAAGTAGTGTTATGAAATGTACATCTCGATTGTACAGCACAAAAGCAGCATCAGGTGATATACATTTATGGGAATTTCTCAGTAAGATGTCGCTTCTCTTGGCAGTGAAGACCAGAGACTGTATGGGGGAACATTCGCAAGATGCAGGGACACTAGGCTAAAGCTTAGGCCAGGGGTAGTGTGAGATATATGCTTCTTACAATCGTGGGAAAGTGTAAGTTAATCAATACCAGCGTCAAAAGCTATAAAATACATAAATCACTTGTTCAGAGCCGCTGATGGCCGGATGTATGAAACCTGAGCAGCCCATGACAAACAATGTGGGAAACCCCTTACATGCAGCCGAGAAGCAGAGATCGCGACGTTACGTAGTCGCCATTTTGTTTCACCGGGAGTAAAGAAACCAACCTGAAAAGCACCGGCGTGAATATTTTCCTTTATCAGCAGCACCTTCAACACGGCGGATCAGCATCGTGCACCCGAGTTTAGATTCGCATGGTATGTACACACCGAGGTGACCGTAAAGTTGTGAAAACACAGTGCGTTTTGTGACTGAGCTTGCTATCTGTGCACAGTAATGTTGGATGCGTTGCACGACCGGCCAGAGTTAGCAACATAGCAGCAGCTCGTTTACATGGCTAGCCGGCATTTTGAAAACGGGCCCGCTTTGATTGACGGCCCGTTAAACAGATGTGGTGGAGATTCCCAATGTGCACCACATTTTGGGAAAGACCAACCACTTGAAGGGATTTAGCTCTGGCATTTGTTTTGGAAAGGTTAGCATCATTCAGTTTGCACCTCCACGCGTGTAGAGAAGACTGGGGCCTGTAGTTTACCGAGGCAGGGACGCTAGCTGACATTAGCTAACAGAGGCGTGGTGGATAATGTATGGAAACCTGCTGGCTATAACAGGAAATGTGCGCTTTTTATTTGTTTAAGTTCTGACTGCAAAGAGCGAACTCCATTAGTTTTTTTTCACAGTATTAGACGTTCAAACATTGCAAAACGCGCCACCCTGATGTTGTTTCAGTTTCGCACTTGCAAGCACAGGAGCCACTCAGATAACGTTACCGTTTGTAAGCAGTGTCCAGTCTTGAACGATGGCGCCAAACTGCACGTAATTTTGTTTTTCCACTTTTTCTCGGAACTACAGCATGGCCGTATAAACCTCCTAGGTGGCCCTGGGGCAAAGATTTGTTGTTGGGCACCTATCTACCCCGGGTTTACATTAGATTGATCAATGCTCTACAGCTGAAATGAATAAATAAACAATGCCAAATATCCTCTGGTGGCAGCTTCTCCGGTGTGAATATTGTCTGTTTTATTGTCTTTCATATGATGGTAAATTGAATAACTTTGTATTTTACAAAGCTGATCAGACAAAATAAGCAAGTAGAATAGAATCGATTGATCCTGAAGGAAAATAAATGCTAGATTGATTGAAAATAAAAACAGTTGTTGGCTGCATACTTACAGGGTTTCTGTAATTGATAAATACTAAGTTGTCTGTATGGTAATTACTGACTGACACACACAACAACTTGAAGGCAGTTAAGGTCATAAAATTGCAGATTCCCACAGGGTTCCTCTTCAAGACCAGGGTCAGAAGGGTTAGGGAGGATTGGCTATTCAAAGTTGTTATGTCAGTGGTGCACATTTATAACACGTTTGTGATTGACTATATAATATAGACTCAAATGTAAACTGTTGCTTGCTTGTTGATGTAGCTTTGAATTGCAGTGATGTTGTTGGTAACTCTGCTCTTGCTCTCACCTGCGCAGATGTCTGGAGACATGGCCACAGATCATGTAAACGGGAATGGAACGGAGGAACCGATGGACACTACGGCGGCGGTGACCCACTCAGAACATTTCCAGGCTTTACTGGAAGCGGGTTTACCTCAGAAAGTTGCTGAGAAGCTAGATGAACTTTACGTAGCAGGTAAGCAGAAATTTCATCTCACGCTGCGCTCTGCTGTTGTGTCCTGCCTTTCACCTGCTCCGAGAGAGACGTTAGGTACCACCACAGTCTTGCAACACAGGACTTGTCAGAGATGTGTTTTCCAGAGACGCTTGTTTATCGTTGGGCCAGAGAGATTTCTGTTTTTAGGGCAAGTGCCATGAATGTCTAGATTTGTGTTTTGCTAGGAGGATGAGGCTATTTTATACTGAAATTATTGTCAACAAATTCCATGAACAGACTAAAATCAACGATGGATCTTATGTATCTCAAGCTTGATATATCTGCAGCGACCAGTTGGTTTAGGAAGACACTGAAATGTTTTGGAACTGAAGTTGTTTGTGGCCTCCTTATTAAAGAGTTGTGTCTCCAGTACAAACCAGTAAGGCTGGGCTTATCCAGAGGGAGGCCAGAAAGTACGGAGAGACGGACAAACAGATTTCTAATTTTAGTCTTCTTGTGAGATGTGTTGAAAGTCACGTAAATGTGGAATATCGCCAGGCTAATCCGCTAATATTGATTGCTTGAAACAATGGTTACCAGGACAATGAAACAACAGTCACTCATCAGTTCCTTTGTAGTATTATCAGTAACTGTTTAAAGTTGTTTACTGACAATTAGAGCGCCAAGATGACAGAGAGCGGGTAGATTGCAAGAAAAAGAAATCCTGTGTGCATCCTTCTTTCTACACTGCAACAGACTCTACCATGAATTACCCAGCTTGTAACCTTTTAGATGAAATCATGAGAGGCACATTTCTTATTCAAGATCAATAAAACATTTCCTGTTATGTTTGTACATCGCCCTTAAAAGTACCTTCGTTGCTGCACATCAATACGTTGCTTCGGCTCTGTGTGTGTGTATATTGTCATGCTCTTAAGTACCGAGGCTGGATTGAATGGATAAAAGGATGGGTGTAGCCGTAAATGGTTTAAGGAAGGTAGATTGAAGCCAGCTGGTACTGTGACATGTGCAGAAACAATAAAGCAGCTGTCTGGCTGCAGTAGGTGAATTGTGCTCTTTTTAGAGGAAGCTGTAGGAGCCGCAAACGGTGTCATCCAGAGCGTGGTTAAAATGACTGTAAATAGAAAAAGGGGTTTGTTTGAAGTGTTTTGCGGGATCTTGAAATGTGGTGTTAACAGCATCCGTGTTTGATGTTTGAGTAACACTGTCCCTTTGTTGTTCATTTCGAAAGTGTCAGTTGTACCAGTTGATATCTGCTGCATGTTTTGAGGAGACTGTTTTGAAACTTGGCACTGTATGTGACAGTAAATGGTTAACACACACATAGTAATGACACTTGGACATAATCAGGCCATTGTCCCTTCAGCTATCATTTTCTTTTGTTCCTTGCAGGACAGATCAATCATTACTAAGCCTATTGTCCAACTGCTTCATAGCTGCGTGTGTCACACTCACTCTGTTTCTCGGTGTTAACCTCCTCAGGTGATGATGCCAATTTTATTTATTTAAACACCATATTTACAGTTTGTTTTTGCTGTATTTCTCAGGCTTGGTAGCACATAGTGACCTAGACGAAAGGGCTATTGAAGCTTTGAAAGAATTCAATGAGGAGGGAGCCCTGCAAGTGCTGGTCCAGTTCAAAGAGAGTGATCTGTCACACGTGCAAGTAAGTTCTGAACGCGCTGTCTTCAGGGTGTGGAGTGACACTCTGAAAGACAAAGAGCTGCTCTTTGTTAAACTGGTGCAGATCTGATTGTATATAACAAAATTGTATCATCTTACAGTAACTGTGTTATGTCTAAGTTGAAGTGTGTTTGATCTCATGTATATGGACTGCATTGAAACTGCGGTCCCCAAAGTACAACCTCAATGCAACAAATCCGTACACCTGTGACCACGGCAACAGAAGTCAGGTTACCTGTGATCGCTGCATCAAAACTGAGTACACTCGCTATTTCCAGTCAAGGATAATTACATGAACAAATTTCTAAAAATAACCAGTGCACACTGCCGCAGCTTTCTCAGTGTGTCTAATGCAACATGTAAGAGTAAGAAAGTAAGTAAGAATGAATTCAGTATGAATGTTGGCAGATTGTTGTTTGGTCACATGAAACCAAAATTAATTAGTTTGGCTCCAGCCTGCTTGGTGAACCTGGCCCAGACCACCACAGTGACTGCACAGTGCCGACCATGAAGCAGGGAGGTGGGGGTGAGCTGACATGGGGCTGCATGAGAGGAAAGGGTGTAGGGGAGATGACATTTATAGATGGTGCCACAAATGCAGGTTTGTTTACTCAAATACTGCTTGAAAAGACATGTCCCAGCCTTAAGAAGCTTGGCAGGAGAGGAATTTTCCAACACGACAATGATCCCAAGCACAAAAGAGTTTGTAAAGAAGAAAAATGTGGAAACGACAAACCTGGAGAAATTTGTCCCCTGACCTGAATCCAATAGAAAAACATGTGGAGTATTTTAAAGTGGCACATATAGCAAAAAAAAACCCTCCAGCAAAGAACAGCTGAACAATGGCAGAACATCTCTGCACAGATTTGTGTCAAACTGGTGTCGTCCATTCCAGGGAGGATCACATCTGTCATTAAAACAAAAGCAGACACTTCATATTTTACTTATATGGACCAGGAGTGTACTCAGTTTTGTTGTATAATGTATGTGTCCTTGTGTTACCGCTCTTTTCTTCCGCTCTCCCCTCAGTAGTAGAAGGTAAATCTCGTGTACGTTTGTAACAGTTTGTTCTCTCTTCCAGAACAAAAGTGCCTTTCTCTGTGGGGTAATGAAGACTTACAGGCAGAGGGAGAAACAAGGGACTAAAGTTTCAGATTCTACTAAAGGACCCGATGAGGCTAAAATCAAAGAACTCCTGGACAGAACCAACTACACACTTGACGTAACAACAGGACAGCGAAAGTATGGCGGCCCCCCGCCCGAGGACGTGTACTCAGGTGCCCAGCCCACGGTTGGAACAGAGGTAGGCTTTATCATGATGTGTTCAGAGTAAATGCAAATATGAAGTGTTCCGATTGCTGTTATGTCACACCGGGAAAAGACAGTGACTACTGGGATGTAATGGACAAATATTTTACATGTTGCATCTTCAAATGTCAGAAATATTTTCATTGTGACGATGGATGTTGAAGTGAACGTAGTGCGTCTTGACTTTGACATGATCCCTCTGAACTATTTCACCTCACCCTGATTACTACAAGTCTTTTAAAAACGTCAGTTTTCCCCCGTGTTGTTTTATAGAATATAAAAAAATATATTCTTTCTTTCTTCACCTAGATATTTGTTGGGAAGATTCCCCGTGACTTGTTCGAAGACGAGCTGGTTCCTCTCTTTGAGAAGGCCGGACCTATCTGGGACCTCCGGCTAATGATGGACCCCCTGAGCGGCCTGAACAGGGGCTACGCCTTCGTCACGTTCTGCACTAAAGAAGCGGCCCAGGAGGCGGTGAAGCTGGTGAGTCTGTCAGGAATTCACAGCTCAGCAGAAACCAGGAAACTGAAATTGAGTCGGGACAGTAGTTTTTGTTCAGCAGCCAAGTAACTTGTCTGCACAAAACATTTCCGTGTGCTGGATATTAGGAATAGGGGGCAGAAACGTTATAGACGGAGAGTCTCAAAGTGAGAGGCAGTTGAACTGATTGTCAGCTGTCGTCATTATCTATGTGCGTGACGTGATGTATGTTTTTTTTTTTACAGTGCAATAATCATGAGATTCGCCCCGGCAAGCACATTGGGGTGTGTATATCTGTCGCCAACAACAGGCTATTTGTTGGCTCCATTCCCAAGAGTAAAACAAAGGAGCAGATAGTAGAAGAGTTTGCTAAAGTCACAGGTAAAAGAAAAAAATCCTGATCTATTATTTTTATAGATCTCTGCTGTTTTTCCAAACTCTAATCTAAACCACTTAAACTTAATCGCACAACCTTTTTTTTTTCTTCTTCTTCTGTCTGTAAAGAGGGCCTCAGTGATGTCATACTGTACCATCAACCCGATGACAAAAAGAAGAACCGGGGTTTCTGCTTCCTGGAGTATGAAGATCACAAAACAGCTGCTCAGGCCCGTCGCCGGCTAATGAGCGGGAAGGTGAAGGTTTGGGGCAACGTGGTGACAGTGGAGTGGGCCGATCCCATCGAAGACCCCGACCCAGAGGTCATGGCCAAGGTGAGCTTCAGAAAAATAGTCCTGAAATGTCGCTTGGAACAACTGGGCAAAACAGTGAAGATGGCACCGTTAAGGAGATAAAGGGCTGGAAGATGTATTGCATCTCACGATGATAAACTTAAAGGAGGAGAGAGAGAGAGAGAGAGAGATGAGGTGTGACCTTCTCTCCGTCCATTTCACAGGTGAAGGTTTTATTTGTGAGAAACCTCGCCAACGGTGTCACAGAGGAGATCCTGGAGAAGTCCTTCAGTGAGTTTGGAAACCTGGAGCGAGTTAAGAAACTCAAAGACTATGCTTTCATTCACTTTGAAGAGAGGGATGGTGCAGTGAAGGTACCCACTTTCTGTACTTCTGCTGTTTGTGTCATATTTCAGCTCCTCAGCCTGAATCTGAATAAGTTTGTTGAACCAAAAATCATGTGCACAAATGTTGTCGCTTCCTTTGCTCAGGCATTAGAAGAAATGAACGGGAAGGAGCTGGAGGGAGAGCCGATTGAGATTGTTTTTGCCAAACCACCAGATCAGAAGAGGAAGGAACGCAAAGCCCAGAGACAAGCAGCCAAAACGCAAATGTAAGAAACGTCTTGTCTCATTTTCTAATGACGGGCAGATCAGGATGCCGCTCTCTGTCCTTGCTCATAGTTTTGTTCATTCTTACTTCTTGCCTTCTTTATCTCATCAGGTATGATGACTATTACTACTACCCTCCCCCTCCCCACATGCCTCCACCTGTCAGAGGCCGGGGCAGAGGCGGCAACCGGGGCGGCTACGCTTATCCCCCCGACTACTATGGTTATGAGGACTACTATGACTATTATGGCTATGACTATCACAACTACCGCGGCGGCTACGACGACCCCTACTACGGTTATGACGACTTCCAGGCCCCGAGCCGAGGGCGCGGTGGCAACAGGGGCGCCCGGGGAGGATCCTCTCCAGCCAGGGGACGTGGCGGCGCCGGTGCACCCAGGGGCAGGGCCAGCTTCTCCCAGCGTGGCGGGCCGGGACCAGGCCGCGGCGGGCGGGGCGCAAGAGGAGGCGTGCAGCCGAGAGGGCGAGGAGGGGTACGTGGTGCGCGGGGTGGCCGCGGTGGAAATGTAGGAGGAAAGCGCAAAGCTGATGGGTACAACCAGCCAGATTCCAAGCGTCGCCAGACCAATAATCAGAACTGGGGCTCTCAACCCATTGCTCAGCAACCGCTCCAAGGTGGTGATCATTCTGGTAACTATTCTGGTTACAAATCTGACAACCAGGAATTTTATCAGGATTCTTTTGGGCAACAGTGGAAGTAAACCAGTAGGGCTTTGATAACAAAATACGTGTTTATTGTTTTTGTTTTTGTCTTTTTATTTAGAGACTTGATCTGATTGGCCCTCAATCCCATACGGTTGCCTGCATTTTTTCCTCAAAATTGGTGACATCTGGCAAGATATCTTTTTGTACATATTTTAATAATCCGCTTGGACTCAAACAATAGTCACACTCCCACCTGTTTCTGGCGAACTGGTTTTCTTTTTTTCTTTTTTTTTTCTTTTTTCCTTTTTTCTTTTTTTATTATTATTATTATTATTTTTAAGATGGTCGTTTAAAAGATTTTCCATAACAAAGTTTGAAAAAAATTTTTAGATGCAAATATGTGCTCGAGCTGTCTATTTGGCTATAGCTTTATGTATGTTTTTAGAGATTCTGGTTTCCATGTTTTAAGTAGCTAACAGCAACAAAGCATATGTCTCCTAAACATGTATTTAAAACAAATGAAAATACAATTTGTATTGTCACAAAGTAATGCGTGTCTTGTTATTGAAAAGAAAAAAAAGGACCATCGTAGTCCTATTTTTTGGCTTTACATTTTGGCTTGTATTCTTTGCTGTTTGTCTGCTTTAATAAACATACACGCACACGTGTACAAAACTTCAAATTGTGTTGCAAATTCATGTTTCGGCAAATTCTCTCTTCAAATTGCCTTCAAATTTTAAGGCTCCTTGTGGAAGAAAATGGACTAAAGGTTTGCCAATGTTGGCCACATGCTACAGTGTCACCTTGCATGCCATCAAATTCCAAATCACCTACTTCTATAGTCGGCATCTCTCAAGTGCTCTGTATGTGTAGTGACATACTTCATCCTTATGAGTTCCTCTCATGTCCAAAAACATAAATGTCTCACAAATTGGTGTCCTAAATTCACTGTCAATGCAGCATTAAGAGTAAGCCCCACCCCCCCACCCCTACAAGTCTGTCATACAAGTCCCTTTTGTTACCGGTGGGGGGGGGGGTAAAAGCACAATTTGATTTATTAATTTCAAAGTGAAGCTTTTCCTTGTCCCAGAAGGATCTACCTAGCTGTTGAAGGCCTGGATACTAATCTTGCATGTTTATCTGGAGGTTTGATATTGTGCTACTGTGATAGAAAACTGCCATGCATGACTTGCTTGTAGTGTTTTTGTTCCGTTTTTGCTTTTCTAGATAACAATGGCTGCTTTTAACCCCCCCACTCCCCTTCCCTTCTTCTCTGCCCGTCGTTAAGCGTGTCCACGTTTCACCTGCTGCACCTCAGACGATTTTAAGTTTTGTTTTTTTTGTTTTTTGTTTTTTTTTTAAATTATCCAAACCAGGCCGATTCTCTGCTTGTCGTCCTCTTTAAGGCATTGACATGTGCATGTTACGTCAGAGGGCGTGCAAGTCTGTCAGAATGCTTTGTCTTCTAATGTATGTAAATTCATGTTTTTATGTGTTTACGCAATTCTCCCTCTGCAGTTAATGCTGAGTGCGAGTGTGTGAGAGTGAGGGACACAGAACAGTAGATGTGTGTGTAGATGTAACACGATCCTGTTTTCCATTCTCTAATTGCTTCCTTTTGTTACCTGACTAGCAGGAAAAAGGGGTCGAGGCCGGTCCTGATGTGTCGCTATGAAGACTGACCCGTGTATGGCGTTGCACACTGCAGGCTGCCAGTGGATGGAATGGTAAGGTCATCTGACTCAGTGGTCCAGTGGTATTCCAGCCCTTCTTTTAAGGAGCAGATCTCCTGAAACTGCCACGTTTGAAGATAATCAGAAGAGCAAAACTTGAGCTTTTTTTTTTCTTTTTCTTTATTTTTTTAAAGCATTGACTCTTAAGTTAATAAGTCCCAGCCCCAAATAGGCCATTTGAGACCTACTGAGTTTGAGTTCATGATGGACATCCTTCTGGAAAAGTCTTTGCACTTTTTTTTTGTTTTGTTTCAGTTTGGAGTGGTTTAGTGGAACTTGATGCTATATATTTTGTTTTTTGTTTTTATTTGTTTCTTTGAGTTCTTAGACTACATCTTTACGATGGACTAGACATGATAATCTATGATTATCAGGTAGAGTTGAGGTGTGATCACCCGGCGTTGAAGGTCGGGCATTCCAGGAAAATGGTTCTTTGAGAACTAAAGCCACCAAGGGTTTGTTAACTACCTCAGTTTCGAGGACTCACCTGCTCCGTGTCATTTTGTACTTGAGGAAACTGAGGCAGGGTCACACCCACCCACCCAACCCCCAACTCCTCCCAAACCCTTCCCCACCCCCGCCCCTCCACCTCAGCGATATGCACAGGCAACAACGACAGAGCACTTAATGAATTTTGGTTCTCAGCTGAGACTTGACGTAGGCTGCTACTGTGGACATGTAGCCGGTCCTTCTGAAATGAGCCTGAACAAGCCTTGCTGTCTTTATCAATGAACTGAGTGATGATGTAGTTGACGGACAGATAATTGTTTTTATAGCTTTTCTTTTTCTTTTTTTCTTTTTTTTGTAAAATCTTCAATACCTGGAAACCACAGTCATCCTTTGTCTTCCACAATTGGAAAATTACTTTAATTTCTTGTTTGCAAAGTGATGTCTCAGGCTTGTCTGCTCTGCGCTAACATCTTGTGTTTGTGCACAACATGAATGACCACTGACATCCAGTGAAGCTGCTTTTTATTCAGAGTCTCTGAGCAAGTCTGGAAGGAAGTGAATTCATTTCCATGTCGTGAAAGTTTTACGAATCGGATTAAACACAAGTTTTCATCGCAAAAGCATGATTATCCATTTCACATTGTACGTCACTGTAGACTGATTATCATGCTGTATATGTGGTCGTGACTAATTTTCCTGTAAATTGATGTCAAGTCACGTCTTTTCAGTGTACTCATTATACTGGAGGTCAAGTTAAGAATTTAAAGGAGCAGATCCATCCTGCAACATTGACACTTGGGGGGGTAAAATAAGACTTTAAGGATGTACCTTGAATTTTGTTTTATTGGGAGTCTGAAGTGTTCTACAGCCTGTAAGATACAGCCAGCTTGTCAGTTTTTCAGTGAGGGTTTTCTGTTGTGCATTTTAGTTAATAATTAATATTAAAAAAAGAATCACCTTGTATTTGAAACAGTCAGTATAAAATGTAAAGGATCAATCTGGTGTTATTCTGTATTTACCAGCTGCGACAGCATGGCCGGTATTGTTTTATTTTTTATGTTGTGAGTCTGTGTGTGTCGTCATGGAGACACCTACTGTAGCAGGAACTACCAGAGAGGTGGTTTTGATTTATATCTGTCTGTGGACAGATTTTGTCACTGCAATAGTGTCACAACCTGCGAGATACAGTCATGAAACTGTACAGTTGTGTGTTAAGATCAAAATGGAGGCCAAGTTCGAAGATGGGCGCGGCCCGCCACACGAGTACTGATGTAATAATGTAGTAATGGCTTCTGAGTACTCGTGGGTCAAAACATCATGTAGAGGCTGGTGTTAGCCAATCACAAAATGGTTTCTAATTTCGTTATTGTCAAAAAAAAATCAATATCAAAAACAATGTCTGTGACACTCAAATCAAACCCACTGGAAAACGGCTCACAAAAACTTAATTTTATTTTCTAAAAAGGCTCTAATTTCCTAAAACAGCTGCTCACTGTAGTTTTCACATAGGGAATATTGGGGGCAGCAGGAAAAATAAACTTGTGTGTTCATGTTAATGAAGGAACATGTCACCCAGTGCAGCAGTGTGGCTCACTGATGTGTTTTTAATAGTTTCAGGAAACAATGGAGCTCTATTGTAAAATACAGAATATCACCAGACTGGTCCTTTTTAAATGATGTAAAATATTTATTCATTTGCACCAATGATCAGTAATCACACAAGAGAAGAATTCAATTGTACAGAGATCCGTTTCTGCACCCACATAATGTAATGAATCCGTGAGAGATGGCAGGAGGTATTCTGGGAATTGTAGGAAATCACAGAATGAAGCAGTTGGAGTTTACTTCATCACAAAGTGACTCTTGAAATGAATTGTACATCACAGACTTGTGTGGTTTTTAATGGTGAAACAGTATCTGAGGTTGGATTTCTCCTTTAAGCTCTTTTTAAACATCATTAGTAGCAGTTAGCAGTTGTTTTGGTTTTTTATTTCATTTTATTTTATTTTATTTTTCTGTGACGTTTGCCATGAACCAGTGTCTTGAATCTTACTCATGTTTAGCATCTTCCAGTTCAGGAAAGATTGTGCAGCTTGTTTTTTTTTTCTCTTCTTACCCAGTTCATGAAAAACAGCCAGATTATGAGTTTTTTTCATACTAGTATTGACTCTGTTGGATCACCAATTTTAAGGGTCAAGAATGTTTTGTTTTTTTTCTTTTTTCTTTTTTTGCTAACAAGTGTGTTTGCATTTTTGCAAATGAATTGTTTTATACTGTACAGTGAGGTGAGTTAAACCTATTTTTCTAATAAAGTTATTGACTTTAACCTTGGTTGTTTTTTTTTTGTTGTTGTACAGCCAGTGTTAATTCTTGTATATAGATATTATTTACATCATGGACTCGATCTGTGAAGCTCATTAACATAGTACAGTACGGATACATTTTAGAGATCATGGAAATGCTTATTAATGCTGTTTTTAGGATATCTGTAAATCTTAAAGTCTTAAGTAAAGAATTTTCTGCCCCCCATCTGGTCCGAGGTCACATTAATTGATTAATTACATTACTCATTGTTAGTAAAGTCAGTGAAGTACTGACAAAAATTGTATATAAATGTCATTAAATTCATTTAGTTAATTATAGGGACTTCCTGTAATTCATTTTAAGATATATTTTAAATTCTAAAATCTTGAATTTAATTTGGTGAACAATGCAGAAACCTTGTTTGTAACCTATTTGCCATTCAGCTTGACTTTAGTTTTATTTTTACACTATTTGGTTTAAATGAATACATTTTATTTACTTAAACCTTCACAGTGTCATTTTCAAAAATAAAATAAAACAAACAAACAAAAAACATGCAACAATAAAGGTCAATAGTGGTGGAAGCCCCTTTAAATGTATGGGTCTGGCATCTAGTCCTTTAAATTGAATAGAACTCATCCACATTTTTACCCACACATCTACAAAACATAACTGTCATAAAAATAATAAATTAAACTTAAATATATTTTCAAATGTCAACAGGTCGTTGAATGAACATTACTGACGCGCTGTAGATTTACCAAAACCTGGGATCGCCCGAAACGGAAATGGCGTTGACTGGATTTAGGGTTGCCATGTCCGCATAGCAAAAAGACACTTTTGGTGCGTTGTTTGTGTTCAGAGAGTCGCTGTGTAGCAGTTTTACTCAGCAAATAATAATTTGTGAATAACAAGTAGCGCCTTTTGAATTAATAAAATTATCAAATGAATTACAGACACAACATCCAGCATAACTGACATATTTGGTGTGCATAAAGTAACGGCAAACATAAAATATAAACTAGCATAATAATACAGAGAAAGAGAGGAAAAGTTAACTTTCAAATACTTTAAATTGTTTTGATTAATATGAATAAATCTTGAATCAATATATTAAAGTATTCAAAAAAATCTAAAAACAACTTGAGATTACACTTAAATAGAGGTGAAGTCATTAGCTGACTGATAGAATATAAACTACCAACTGTTTTGGTAATAGATCAAGTCATATTTCAAGCTAAAATGTCATAAAAATAAATTTTTCTAGGCGCAGCTTCTCCAGTAGTAATTTGTTTTTTGTTATTCTTTATTTTTTGTAGCAAACCTTGAATATTTTTCGACTATGTGTTTATCAAAATAAAAACAATGTCTGAAGATGTTACTCTGGGCTCTGGGAAATTGTGCTGCTATTTTTCTAAAATATTTTTTTCTGATATTAACCCTGTTTTGTACTGTTAAATAAGACAATTCTTCATGAAAGAGAACCTATTCGTTTTATCTATTTCAAAATAATGGGTGATTACATTGTGCCCTTGCAAACTCAATCTGATTAACCTACTATTGTTTGCCATGTAATCCCATTAAATTTGGTTTCAAGAGTAGAAGAAGGTTTTCGTCTTTACAAACAAACCTTTTATTTTTAAGACCGTTAACTAGTCGCTATTACTTGTTTCCGTCGACAGATCTGGCAACCCGGGTTGGATTAGAAAACATTCCATCTGTCAAGGAAGTCGGTTGGGACTTTCAAAAAATGGAAAACATGAAGTAAAAACTTTCGCAATTGAAGAAAGTAACTTGAATTCAGGACTGGTCTGGCCACCAGCCGAAGACTACACCTATGGATAAGATGTGTTTTATTATATGAAGAAGCTCGTCGATAGTATTGTCGCTGTAAGTTAAAGCGTTAACCGCTGACCTGAAAACTAACGTTAACCGTTAACCTAGCTAAAACGACTCGGGTTAGCTAACTTCGACATGGTTTAAAGTTGATTTTCAGACGGGTACCTTCACTATATGTAGGTTTAATGCTTTAAACAGACCAAAAACGTGCCCGTTTGGTGTTAACTTCTATGAAATGTGTTTCCCCCGCCCACAGCTCCGCTGAAAGGATGGCAGGTATTTTAACGTATGTGGAGGATTTGAAGCGGGGACTGAAGATCGACGTGCTGAGAGAAGCTGGACGGCAGTACCCGGTCTTCTGCTTCCTGCTGCTGTGCATGCTCTCTCTGACTGTGCTGCTCAACAGGTACATGTTAAACGATAAAGTGAGCTGGGGAGTGTCAGATTATCAGCTGAAACACTGGGTGGTGGGTCATGTGATGTCTGGAGGAGTGTGACCTGCTGCTGATACCTGATCAGAGCAGAGCTGTTTATCTGTTTCACCCAGTGTTGTTGTTTGTGTTTAATCTGGACTCTCACGTTTAGATTAAAGGCTGTCATTAGTCATCTGCATGCACCTCTTTAAACCTGATTAATTAACAGCTATGTTTCAAGTTGAATTCACTATTTAGTCCATGGACAGACTGACACACCGAGGCCCTGAGCACAGACATGTAGAAGCTTCCCTATATAAGAGAAAGTCATTGTAGTTGTTTTACACCTTTGTGGCTGCTTACATCACTTTGTGGTTGTATTATGTCACTGTGTGGTCATGTTGCATCCCCTTGTAGTAGTCTCTTGTCTCTGTGCAATTGATTTACGTCACTATATGGTCACGTTGCATCTCTTTGTGCTCATTTTGTGTCTGTTTAAGGATGTTTTATGTCACATTGTGGTCATGTTATGCCTCTAGTATTTCAAGTCTAGTATTTTAAGTCACTTTATGGTCATTTTGTATTCCCTTGTAGTACTTCTGTGTCTCTTAGTGGTTGTTTTACGTCACTTTGTGCTGTTTTGATTCTCTTTGTATTTTTTCGATTGACATCCCATTAAAAAACAGTATCAGTCGCCTCAATCTGAGGCTCCAACCTACAGTCCCCAGAATCCCTGGGTTAGTGCCTGGTAGCCTTGTTCAATAATCAATCCAGGGTTAAATCAGTATCCATGTGCATTCAAAAAACACCCTGGAAATTGTCATTGTTTAGTACGCTGCTTACTTGACAAATAAACCGATTTCTCAATAACAGCAATGGTTCAGGGTACAAAATAACATTTTAGATAATAAAATTAAAGAATGTGAATGATTGATGTCAGCTGTAAGTGAAACTTAAAAAGGACTCAACCATGAAACTGAAGGACTGTTGCATGCTGAAGAAGGTGTAGCTGAAATGTCTGTGCATTTTTACTTGTATAACTCAAGGCATCAGGGGTATGGTCATGGGTGCAGAACAAACACAGTGACCACAAGGAGGAGCCAAAGATTAAATGCTGATTAATGTTTCTTTGCATTGTATTTGAGCACTGTTATTAGGTCACTTTTAATGCTGTGTAATCTGCCTCCAGGTATATCCACATCCTGATGGTCTTCTGGTCTTTCCTGGCTGGTGTCATCACTTTCTACTGCTCCCTCGGACCAGAGTCTCTTCTCCCAAACATCCTCTTCACCATAAAGCCAAGAAGTAAAGTAAGTTGTAACTTGCATGTGTTAAAGTTGAGTTTTATTTATATGAGGGTCGCTCTGTGGAGGAGTGTGTTGTTTGCTTACATGGAGATGTTTCCAGTGATTAAGTGGCCGCTGAGAAAATAGCTGATGATATTTTATAGTGTTCGATTTAACACTAAAGGAAACTGAGGATTTATATTTTGTCCTCCAACAGCAGCAGGAGCAGGAGCAGGAGCTGTTTCCTCTGGGCAACAGCTGTGCTGTGTGTGGGAAGGTCAAGTGCAAACGTCACCGGTACGTTCACAAGCAGATAATGTTGCTGGTCAACTCCTCTATGTTAATTTGACAGCTGCAGTTACTAGTTACTTGGCTGATAAAGACTTTACATAAGCGGATGTGTTGTAGCAGAATATAAAGTACTTAAATCAGCTCTGTCTCAACCAACTTTAACTGTAAAACATTGCTCACACATTAATGAATCAGTAATAATAATTAAATAATGTAACGTGGTCTCAATACTCCACTTTCAGGTGCCTTTTTGCTGCATAATGAAAATGTTTATTTATGATACCTTCAGTATGTTTTGATCTGCGCTTTTACGTAAGGAAGATTCTGAATGCAGGACCTTCAGTTGTGATGGAGTATTTTTAAATAGTTGTTTTCATACTTTTAATTAAGTTCTTCTTCTACCACTTTTCCATAATCAAAGATAATTGTGATAATGAATGATATGATTCCTTTCTTTAAATTATTTTTTCATGTTATTGACATTTCAAAAGCACAAGTACATTCTGCACTAGTTTGCCACCTAGTGGATATTGTTAAACAGTGCTGCTGAGGACAGATACATTTCTACCCAAGCCATTATTAATGATGATGGGCTTCTGGTAAAGTCACTTTATCTGTGTTGTTTAATGTCATAAATAATGGATGACTTACTGACACATATCACACACGGCATCAGTGACTCCAGACCCAGCGTCAGCTCTCAGAGCCAAGAAAAAAAATACACGATGGAAAAAAAAGAGATAAACCTCAAGAGAGGCAGTTCAAAGTGAAGTTCCCCCTCACAGACAAACAGGTAGAAGGAACTGAAAACAGGCAAAATACAATTACCAAAAACAGAAAGCAAAACAAAACACAAGGGGTTCTTTAAGCCAACACAAATCTTGTGTGTTGACTGTAGAGGTTTTTATTAAATAACCTCCTTTCAGCCTCTGACAGCAGTCACTAGTGTTTGGATTTTACCTGGAGTGGATTCCACTCTGGTGTTGCGTATGATCACCGTGTTTTTCAAGTGTTTATTCAAGAAACAGGCACTAAGAACATGCACAAATATTTTGTTCTTTGCAGGCCGACGCTGCTCCTTGAAAATTACCAGCCATGGTTGGAGCTGAAGGTTAATTCAAAAGTGGACGCTTCAGTAGCAGAGGTAAGTCGATGGATGGTTCAACGTCAGCGGTTTTTATACAGAAAAAATGTCTCTGTTATTCTGACAAAACCACTGAAAAACATCGACTCAACCTTCTGTTCTGATCTGACCTGTTCTGTCCCCATCCTGCAGGTGTTCGAGTTAGTGCTGGAGAACTTTGTCTACCCCTGGTACAGGTATGAAGAGAAATCCCAGAGTGTTTTATCGTCTGAAGAAGGTGGATTTTTACAGACTCATGTAGGAGTTTGTTTTTAAACTTCCTCCTTTGGTTTTCAGGGACATCACAGATGACGAAGCATGTGTTGACGAACTGAGGATGACCTTTCGCTTCTTCGCTTCAGTGCTCGTCCGCCGAGCTCAGAAGGTGACGCTTAAACACTCTTCAGTAAAGATGGAGCAGTTAGCAGATGTTTAGCGTGATGTGCTCTCGTAAAAGACTTGATGTTGTTGCAGCAATCCTGGTTTTTCATGATGGTTTTTCAAAGACTAATTTACACAGAAGGTCAGAAAACTCAAATGCAGGTTATTGTGTCACCGGAACACAATTTCATGGTTCTCTCACTCTCCTCCTCACGGCTCTGGTCGTTCCTGGTCCTCTCATATCCAATTATGCTGCAAACACCAGGAGGTTGTAAAGTCTCACAATCATGCAGATTTAGGTGCAAACAAAACACATTCTAAATCAGTACGTTTTTACATACAGTACTGAGTTTACCATCTTCTGTTGATGTTTGTTCATTCATGATGAAACTTTGGTCGCAGGCTAACTGTGAAGTGTTCTCAGTCGCAGTTTACTTGTTATTTCTTTTGTGTGTTTCACTGATTCGGGACATCTTTTTGGCAGGTTGACATCCCCGCTGTGTTTGCAGACAAAGTGATGAAAGCTGCAATGAAGCACATTGAAATTATTGAAAAAGCTCGAGAAAAAGGTAAGTACATATATTCACTTTCACATTCTTGCATATATTAATATTAATTGTTTTATTTTTAATTTTAACTTCAGGTTTGTCTGCTGACAGTTTAGCTATAAATCTGGAAATGGTGACAGTTTTCTCTCCACCAAACTAGAACTGAAACAGTTAACCTTGCTGTACAACGATAAAAATGAGTGACCTTTGATGATGCAGCCAAACTGATAAGTGAAAATGTGTTTCCACCTCGTGTGTGTGGTCTGATTTTATTTGTCAGGGTGTTACGTCGTCTTACACCAGATATCAAACACAACAAACCTGTGAGAACTGGCAGGAGTTGTTCATATGTTCTTTAAGCCCAGTTGTGTGATGCTGGGTTTAATATCCACTGTGTTGTGATGTTATATTGTGTGTGTGTGTGTGTGTGTCTGCAGTGAACAGTGTGGAGGGTTTACAGCAGGCAGCTCTGGATGAATACGGCCCCGATCTTCACACTGCTCTGCGCAGCCGGAAAGACGAGCTGTTCTATCTGAGGAAGCTGACTGAGATGCTGTTTCCCTACGTCATGCCTCCCAAAGCCACAGACTGCAGGTAGGGAGACACAAACAGAGACTGACCAACCTCCTTCTCAGGCTGGACTTTGAATTTGGGAAGACCTGTCTCCTTAAATGTAAAAGTTGTAACCAGTGTTTTTTGTCTTGGCTCAGGTCTCTGGCTCTGTTGCTGCGGGAGGTGATGGCCGGATCTGTCATCCTACCAACCATGGACTTCATGGCTGACCCTGTGAGTAGAACAGGACTATGTGTGTTGACAGTTTAATGAACGAGCCGCTCGTATTCTTCTTTTAATCTTGTAAAACTTGAAATTAGTGGAGAGTGTTTGGCTTCATCAAATGAAACCACAGACAGGTGGAGAAACACTTCATCTGGCCATTAAAGTGGTGATGTTACAGCTCTAATAACGCCTCCTAACTGCATAAAATAGCCTGGTGCTACACAGGGAAGTAACTCAAGAAAATAACTTGATGTTAATTATTTAGACATTTTAATGCAATTAAATCAGGACCGTAAGAGAACCTGTTGTTTCTCTTTGTTTTCCAGGATACTGTGAACCTCATGGTGCTCATATTTGTTGATGACACTCCAGTAAGTGAGACTGTTTCCTTATATCTGAGTCATGTATGTTCAGATAAATCATCTTCTAAATCATCTCATTACTTTGCTCATTTAAATATCTCCTGCATCTGCAGCCAGAACCAGCCACAGAACCTCCGTCTGCCCTGGTTCCATTTTTACAGAAGTTCGCCGACGTCAGCAACAAAAAGCCGTCGGTGAGTATCTCTGTGAGGGAGGACGAGACTTCACAGATTTCATTTAGTCCAACCAGCCACTTCCTATTCTGTGGATCTGTGTGTCGTCTTTTATTTCTTCTGTGATGTGCACAACTAAACGTCTGTCTCCGCTCGTGCAGGTGCTGAAGATGGAGCTGAGGGAGATCAGGAATCAGCAGGATCTCCTCTTTCGCTTCATAAACTTCCTGAAGCAGGAAGGAGCTGTGCATGTGCTGCAGTTCTGCCTCGCTGTGGGTGAGAACAACCGTCACACATGCAGCAAATGTTGCTGCACATTTAATCATTTATTAATGGCTTGGTAACCTAGATTATCTTTAAATAACAACTAGCTTTGAAAGCCTATAGCAATCAGTTAAGTAGTTAGATAACCCGCCGGACCTCTGTGTTTCCAAGTAACCACTAACTGGTTCATCTATGAATCCATCCAGTTTCTAACCCCCTTATCCCGAAGAGTCATTCCTCCATAGTTATTGGAAACATACCTGACATGCGTTTCTTCGCACTGATGAAAAATCGTGAGAGTAACTCTGGAATAGAAAGGTGATATGTTGAGTTTTTCCTCCAGAGGAGTTCAACGATAAGATCCTGAGTCCGGAGCTCAGTGACTCCGAGCTGCAGCGTTTGCACGGCGAGGTGCTGCACATCTACGAGACCTACTGCCTGGACGAAAGCATCGACAAGATCAGCTTCGACCCGTTCATCGTGGAGGAGATAAAGAACAGTAAGACGCTACGACCGTCACCATGGTGCTGGGCTTTCCTCTTTTTTTGGCTTTAAAGCAGAGCAGCTGTGGAGTCACGACGTCATAACTCAGCCTTAATGTGTTTTTCACAGTTCACTGAAGACAGTCAGAATCTCTTAAAACACTAATGTGTTGGAGGTTTTTGTAGATGTGTCTCTTCCATGATGGTTTGATGATCCTGAAGCAGTTGAAGTGAATATCTCTGTATTTATAGATTAATTCATAATTATGATTAATGCTAATTTACTGAACACTTTTGATATTATCATTCTTGCATTGCCATCAAAAACATACAACCTACAAAACCAAAAGTGGATCTGTAGAGAAAGTGTTCACTGGACTTGTGGGATAATTAAAGAAGGACTTAACTTTTGCTGACCTCCAGTGATTCCACTACTCACCTGGCTGCAGTGATGTACAGGTGTACTCCAGGACATTGTGACATCACCGCTGGTTGTGGTCAGAGGTCAAACAGACAGGACAGTGATACGTTGCTTTCAGTCTGGTGTTAAGTTTCTCTATAAACATTTTAGAACGCAGCGCTGCTTGTGTACAAACCCGTGTAGTTTCCTTCCTGTTTGTTTCCACCATAAACGATCCATCTTTCTACACAGAGAGCAGTTTGATTTAAGCTCCGTGTGTCCTCCCTCTCAGTTGCTAAAGGTCCGTACGGTGGTGTGGTGAAGCTGCAGACCATGCGCTGCCTGTTTGAGGCGTATGAACACGTGCTGTCTCTGCTGGAGAGAGTCTTCACCCCCATGTTCTGCCACAGCGATGAAGTAAGAGCTTTGTTTTTGAGCTTTGAAGACACTGAGTGACTGTGTATTCAAAATATAGACTTAGAGTATTTGTCAGTGTTGAAAGATAATGAAGCATATTTATATTTGTACTTGTTTCAGATACTGGAATATTTCCATCTAGTGCTTCTACTTCACGACATTACATTGCAATATTTTGCTTTTAACTACACCACATTAGCTACTAGTGAGTCATGTTATAAAACATTAGAGGTACACCGAGGCCAGGACTGCACTGACTGTCTCCTCTCTGTGTTCAGTACTTCAGGCACCTGCTGAGAGGAGCCGAGTCTCTGACGAGGAACTCAAGAATCAACAGGTTTGTTTCACGTGGAAATCACAGAAAACAGAAATTTAAAATTGCACATTATATGATCAGCGCCATAATTATTGAGCAGGAAGGTGAACCGGCTCATTTCATAGTCATAGTGAGGTTTTCATTCATTCATAATGACAGTTAATTTCATTGTACAAGTTTTGTCCAAACCGTCATTAGCTGCTTGTGCGTCTTATTCCAGAAATAGCTTCAGTTTGGAAGAAAACAGGTAAGTAGGTGTTCGGCATGTCACCTGTCTGCACAGAGTCTGCTGGATGCAAAGAGCAGAATGCATTATGATGCATGCTGGCATGCAGTGTCAAAGAGAAACAGCTTGGTTGCAAGTTACACACGAGCTTTCAGGAGCGACACGCTGCTGCGGCCGGTGGATGAAAAAGGCCTGTAGTTGTCACAGCCGTCCTGTTTTACTGCACGTGTGCTGCACACCTGATGCACCGGTTCATTTGTCACATGGTGCAGAGTGAAAGGCTCAGGTGATTTTTACAAACGTGACAGATGAATATTTATCTTCAAGGACCAGCAGCAGAGCAGAGGAAGAAGGAACCGTTTCAGAGCAGTTAATAGAGACGTGAAGATAGAAGCATGTGACAGGAAAAGAAGTCCGAGCTCGTTTTCTCTGTTCTCTTCTAGAAACACGTCAAAGCGAGGGGAGTCGTTCGGCATCAGCAGAATTGGCAGCAAAATCAAAGGTGTGTTCAAGAGCACGACCATGGAGGGTGCCATGCTGCCGCCCAGCGCCATGAACGAGATTGATGACGATCTGGTGAGTGAGAGACTCGGCGATGATGTTACGACCCTTGGTTTGTGCTCAGTAGAAATTTCTCTAAGACAATACAATTAAGATTTTCACTTTAATTTTTTTTTAAGAAATAACAATAAATAAGAAAATATTTCTGATCACAAATGAGCTTTTGTGAAAATGGATTATTGATTAGTCGCCTCTGTGTTAGACAGTTGCTTCTGTGCTCTGAAAACATCAAGCTGTGATGAGAATCAGCGACACTTCGGCCGCTCTTCATGTCTCTGCACTCATTTATTCCTTCTTTCAATCAGTCCATTTTTCCATTAACAACTGTGTCATCCAGTCCTACAAAAATATGCACATATACTGTATTTAAAACATAAACAAAAATACACAGGATCATGATGGATCTGTTTCTTGATGATGTATTTTTCCATGTTAATGTGGTTTAGCAGGAACTATAAGATTTTAATTAGACTGCGATTTATTTTCTTTAAAATTAATTGTTCCAAATTAACCCCCACACACTTCAGGTAATATCGTATCTTAAATATTTGCCTGAGTCTGACAGTGTCATTTGTTCCTGTTTGGCTCTTGCTGCAGGTGGAGGAGGCCACCGTCGTGATGGAGGACGATTCCCCCGCCGAGCCGGCCGGCACACCGGGCACCCAGAGGAACCTGTCGGCCTGGATCATCACCATCCCCTACATCGACATCTATGACGACGAGGTCAAGAGGGAGAGGATCCCCGTCTTCTGCATCGATGTGGAACGCAATGATAGGAAGGAAGGTGAGAGCTTCAGTCTGCGCCGTCGTCTGTCTAATTAACAGCCGTGCTGCAGCTCATCTGATCCCTGATCAGCACGTGACCATGTTGCGATTCTCTTTTGTTCTTAGTAGTCGGTCATGAAACGGAGAAGTGGTCGGTCTACAGAAGGTACATGGAGTTCTACGTACTAGAATCCAAACTCACTGAATTCCACGGTACAGTTTTAGCTGCTTTTTGTTGGTGATGTTTCCTTTATATTAAAGCTCCATCCTCCGGCTCCACACTGTGTCTCATATTAAATGTTTTCTCTCCAGGCACATTTGCAGATGCACAGCTTCCATCCAAAAGAATCATCGGACCAAAGAATTATGAATTCCTCTCATCAAAAAGGGAAGAGTTTGAGGAATATTTGCAGGTATTCCACCTGGACACTAACATGAATATCTATTGGAGTAAATAATTACAGTGTATTTTTTAAAATTTTTTGCTGTTTAATGACTCTTTGGTGTGAAGTTCTGATTGTTTTTAAGACTTCGCTGAGATGTGTGAGGTCTCATTAACTGAATGTAACTTTAGTGCTTTATACATTTGTATATTGGCACCAGAGGGCAGTAAAACAAAACAGTGTTAGGGAGGTTTTAAATGACTGAGTCAAGGGTGTTTACTTTAATTTTGAACATTTAAAATCAAGTAACAACGTTTTGATGTTTACACATGTAAAATTTTCCCTTACAAATCAAAACTGTCTCATGATTAGAGGAAATAAGAATTTCTTATTTGTTCTCACTCATTGTGTAGATGCATACAAGATGTTTTTCTGTTTGTACGCGGCCTGGTGGCAGATGCTGAAGCTTGTAATCTGAGGAAGAACATCAGTTAAACAACTAAAGTTTCTGGCATGTTTGTGTTTGTGTCCAGAGGCTCCTGCAGCATCCAGAGCTCAGTAACAGTCAGCTGCTGGCAGACTTCCTGTCTCCTTATAGCATGGAGTCTCAGTTCCTGGACAGGATGCTGCCTGATGTCAACCTTGGTAAGTAGTGATATATATTCCCTCCTTTTGTGAAGCATTATTTATTCAGGGACGAGGAGCTGGAGAGTACGAGTCTTACTACAGAGATCGACGGTCGGCCACAGAGCAGCTCTGCTGCTGCTGCAGATTCTCTCCGTTAATTGATTTTCAGTTAAATTATTCTACATGCGACTTTGCATTCATTTCCTTTGCCCTGATGTAAGAAAACGTCGTTATGAATATTGTGCACAATGATTACAATCATGTCACCCAGACGTGCTGCCACAGAATAAATATATTTTCCTTCCTGACACATTTTCCATCAGGTCATAGTGTCTTTGAACTGGCCCTTACCTGGCCAGGCCTCTCTGACCTCTGACCTCTTTCTTTGTTCACGTCCTTCTGCCTTTTCTTCAGTGATCAGTACTTTCACTTTACTTCATATTTCCAGCGTTATTTACTAACTAATTAGAGTTTTTGTTTCACAGGGAAAATTTTCAAGTCTGTACCGGGGAAGCTGATAAAGGAGGTGAGCTGAAATTCTGTTGTAAAGATGATTTATTTCCTTCCTTACCTCCATGTACACGAGTCATTTAAAGTCTTACTGAGCTAACAGGCTTCCTGCTGCTGCTTCAGATTTACCAAACTTTACCTTCTCATTTAAATCTTAGAAAGAAACTAAATAAATAATTATATTTCCAGCATCTGTGCGTCATTATTCTGCCTGTTAGAGATTCATCATTAAGGCTGGAATCTGGCCACGATGGTTAAGTGGTGTTAAGGTGTCTCTGTTTCACTCTGCAGTTTGCCGACAAACACCAGGTGTTAGTGCTGTAGCTAGTTCAACAAGGTGATGATGATGATGATGATGATGATGATGATGATGATGATGATGATGATGATGATGATGATGAAGGTGGTATTAAACACTGTGAAACTGTGTGTTTTCCAGAGAGGACAGAACCTGGAGCCTTTCATCCAGTCATTCTTCAACTCCTGCGAGTCGCCCAAACCCAAACCCAGCCGGCCGGAGCTGACCATCCTCAGCCCCACGGCAGAGAACAACAAGAAGGTGAATAAACAGCAGGCTCACTAAACATCTCTCTCCTGCTGAATCCAGAGCAGAGGTGTTGTTATTGGCAACGTTAGCAAACAGATGAACTCAAGCTGCACATTAATTAACTCCAGCACTTGATGGGGTTGTGATAAGCTGTTGGAGGAAGAGTTTTGCTGTTGATCTCCAGAGAATGAAAAGTTCCATTTGCTCAGATCTGAGAGGAGAAGTAACGTCCTCTTTTCCCAGGAAAGAATAGTCATGTTTGTTTTCATGATTAAGCTTGATGTTTTTCTCCATGGAGACAGTTTGGATGAATGAAGGGTGAATGAAATACAGTATGTTTTTCTTTATATAGTAAAGTACCACAGCCTGGTAGAAGTTTTTCTTCTGAGCTCACTGTTGCACTGATACGTTCCTTCACCATGAACACACACTGTAGTTAATCTTGACTCGGTCCCACACACACTGTAGAGCAATGATGTGTTTTTAATTATTAAGAGTGGAGAAGTCAGACACATGGTTGGTTTGGGTTTTCATGGGATTTGTTGATAATACTAAAATAAAGAAGAACTCCAGCCTTACCCTTTAAAACAGAATTACCAGTTAAATTCTTGCTACATCTTCAGTCGTTCTCTCGACGTTAGACGTGATCAGACGCTGTAGATCAATAATTCACATTCGGTGTCGTGTGATTCTTGATTTTTTTTTTTACTTTATTCCTAATGATTCATTTTCACCTGCAGCTCTTCAGCAGCCTGTTCAAGAACAACGCAAACCTGTCAGAGAGTTCGGAGAGGAGAGCCAACCCCAACTACTTCATGGAGCTGCTCACTGTTCATGGCATGTATGACTACATGATGTACGTCGGTAAGTGATGGTGATGGTACCTTTAATAAAACTCAACTAAACATGCAACAGCTTGTCAGTTTGTAACACCTCTCTCTTCTTACTGTGTTGTATGAGATCATTTCTGTTTCATTTCCGAGGAGCAGCTGCCGTTATCACAGGGGACAGACGTTATTACAGCACACACAGACTGTTAACTGACATAGCTTCACTCGGGAGGAGCAAAAAGTGATGCATTTATACTCAGATGACCAGGTGACGATTAGGTTCCATTCAGCTGTCACCGTGTTTTATATATTTGCTTTTAAAGTCAAATGAAATTACTAACATGAAACCAAATAGTAGAAGAAGAGGTTTGATAATGACACAAGATGAAGAGTGAGAGCTGCACCTGCTCTCACTCTCAAGATGTTTCCATGTCCCACATGACAGCGCTGTCATAAACTGAAAGGTGTCAGATGTCTTAATGACGTCCTCAATCATCACATCTGTAAATCACTCAACTTCACTGGGAAGATTTTTACTTTCATCCTGTTTTTTTCCTTATGAAAAAACACCCAGAATCTCAGAGTCATTTTGCAGCTGTACGTGAGAAATTCAATATTCTTCTCAAAAGCAGCTTCCTGGGAGCTGATTGGTCACAGCAAAGCGCTCCATCCTCAGATGCAGATGTTTTGATTGACAGGTCGAGTGGTGTTCCACATGCCCGACTGGCTGCATCACATTCTGGCCGCCGGGAGAATCCTGTTCAAGAACACGTTCGAGGCCTACATGGACCAGTACATGCAGTCCAAACTGCAGCAGATCCTCCAGGAGCACCGCATGGTGTCCCTCATCACACAGCTCAGAGGTGGGAAACTGCCTCTTACTAAAGATGTGTTTGTGTTAAAGAGTTAAGGTCCATTTTCTCTCTGCATTTATAATTCCAACAACCATGTCAGGGAAAACAGACTTCAGCTAACGTTTATTTGTCAGTGGCTCAGACTCCTGATGTAAAGATATATTACTCTTAAATAAATCATGGCAGGAGGGGCCACTAATCTTTTGTTTCCTGTTTTTCTACAAAAATAATAAGTACATTTATTCCAGCACAGTACTCAGGTAACATCTCTAAGGTCTCTTTATTTTTATGCTGCTTCACTTCTCTTCAGACGTAAATGTAAAAAAGACACTTTTATTTAAAAGATACAGTTTTCAGATTCAGATTTTATGCTCTAAACATCAAGATATAATACATTTTTAGATTAAAGCCACATTTGCCAAAGCATAAGGAATCAGCATTAATAAAACACTGTTATAAGTGTTATAAATATGTAAGTACTTGAATGTAGAACACCCTCTTGTGACTGTATTTTACATCCAGTATTTCTACTTTTAGTGAAAGATCTTCAACCTCGTTACACTTCTTCCAACGAAGGTTGTTCAGTGTCACCAAAATGTATTTGGCTGCTCTACATCGGCTCCAATGAAACAAAACTCCAGTTCCTCCCATATTTTTTTCCAGATCTGAAGTACAGTTTAGAATTTCTTGTTCAAATGATCAGAATTCAGTAAATGAAAAAGTTGGTAGAGACAGTTTCCCCCTCCTCTGTCACTGACTGATGGAGACAGACAGAAGGACAGAGACACGAGGTCACAGGGAGGAGAAGCTCTGACGGATCAAACTTTGTTTCTGTTCTCTTCATGTCGTCGTTTCTTCCTGCAGACGCTGTGTTCTGTGAGGACAGCGAGGAGCGAACCACCGAGGACAAACAAGTCAGAGCCAAGCAGACGTTCGAGGAGATGATGAAGTATTTACCAGGTCAGTTTGATCAGTTTTCCTTCCATTATAAGAGCTGTGTCCATCAGATTGCTTTGGAGGTTTTCTGTCCTTATCCAGTTTAAAAGCAGCATTAATGGATTTTTTGTTCAGCTCATGTTTTACTGACATATTATCACACTCTGCAGGTGATGTAGCAAATATGATGGCAAACAGAGCAACTTACCACCCCATTAGAGTGGCGTTTGTGATCTAATATTCCCTCTTTTCGCTCTGTGTTTGGTCTCTACCAACTCTTGAAAACATTATCTGTCTCTTCAGCTGCTAAATGCTGCACTGTGTTCACCAGCTGCTCTCACACTGTCTGTCTGCTGAGAGTGATGAGACTAAACTTTACAGTAAATATCTCAGAAAACCAAATCTTTGAGCTAAAAGTTCCTTAGAGCTGCTTTTTAATATAAAAAAAATATTTAGTTAATGGAGATTTAACCAGGAAAAATATGTTTAAAACAATGGTTTTTAACAATGAGCTGATTCCTGACTTATGTTGTTTAATAAAATACAGTAGTGATAAGAGAAAAAAGGTTCTTTCACTTCAGCTTTAACACCTGAGCTGATTCCAGGTGCAGCCCTGTGTTTATCAGAAAAAGTGAGGCTGTAGTTTCACTACATGTTCTGTCACACACACTTCCTGTTTCTGTTATCATAGACAAGTTCCAGACAAGTAGGTTGGAACATGGACTGAACAGACATTAAAGATAAATCATAGTGGCTGCTGCGTACAGGTGGCCACAGGACACACCAAGTGATTTACATCCCAAAAAACATCCGTGAAAAGCATCAAAACATCAATAAAAAGGTGTAATGGTGAGATTTCAGCACAGATAAAAATATCCCACTAATTCATTTTGGGTGTATTATACGTTAAAACACTGGACAAGGCTGTCACCTATTATTACTACCACTAATACCACTCCTCTTTCTTATACTCAGGACACTCTGCCAACTGCTCAAACCCACGTTACAAAACTTAATTAAATTGAAGATGTGTGTGTGTGTGTTTGTTTGTGTCAGACTTTGTGGGAAAGTGCATCGGCGAGGAGGCGAAGTACGAAGGTATCCGGCTGCTCTTTGACGGTTTCCAGCAGCCGCTCCTCAACAAGCAGGTAAAGAGACAAATAGGAAACAACAGAGCTGCAGTAAATGTCAGTTTGGTGAAGCTTTATTAATCTTTCAATTCAACCCTGACAACATCCTGTACTTCAGGTATCCAGTGGTTTTAATACATGTGTGTACTTGTCTCAGGTGTCGACTGTTGACTGGTGCAGTTCTTCTGTTTGTCAGATCATCATGACTCTGTTCCTCTATTTCTATCATATGTTCTAATGTCTGAGACTGAGACACAGATACAATTATTTAATAAAAAGGACTCATTATAATAACACTGTTACAATAAACCAGACCTCCTGAGGCAGGGCTGCTTGGTATTGTTTGAAAATCCCGTTTGAGTTCCTGTTGGATTTTTGTGATAACCTTTTTCTACAAAATAAAAATCAACAAAATAAAAGTCCTAAAATGTTAGAAGACTGAACAAGAACTATTATTATTATTATTATTATTATTATTATTATTATTATTATTATTTATTTGTGTTCAAACTAAAGAATCGCTTAACATAAAAGATATATATGCACAAAACATTCACATATATACAGAAACACTTTTATATAGACTCAGATACACATGAATGTTTATGTACATCAGAGGTAGGAAACTAAAAGCTCCTAGAGTAAAGTAGGACAATTAGATGTGATATGGCTACGAGAACAACATAACGTTAAAGTCAAATAAGACGTGGCAGGTAGAATAAAACCAACAGTTTCCTTTCTAACAGCAGTGGTTTGTGATTTTGTCTCTGTCCTCAGATGACGTACGTCCTGCTGGACATCGCGGTGCAGGAGCTGTTTCCTGAACTCAGCAAGGTAAACAAGTGACAGTGGAGAATGTAAAGAAACGTTACAGGAGGAGACACAGCTCACTGTGATGTTTGAGACTGTGTACCATGAATTCTTACACAGTCAGAGCAGATGGAAATAAACAGGAGACTAAAACAGGACCTGATGTAGGAGATTCTTCATATTGTCAGTATCAATTCCCCCCAGTGTTTCACAGCAAAGGGACATGTTCTGTTCTCTGGAAAGCCTTTTTCATGAGAGGGGGAGTAAATACATTTGTCTGTATAAAATTCTTCCTAAAACATGATTGAATATAATATAAATCAGATGTGTTTCTCTCTCCAGTTGAGGCATATAAAGGCCCTTCCTGCTATTTGAGAATTTACGATGTTCACTACTGAGCTGGAGTGAGAGTGTGGTTAGCTTAGCTTAGCATAAAGAATAGAAGCCTCTAAAACTCAGTGACTGATGTGCTATTTTAATGAAATGTAAAAACCAGTTTGGGATGTCATAGTAACAACAGAGTTGATGATGACGGTTTTAGAAACCTGGGTGTGATTGGAGTGAGCTGCAAACACTCACCACACCCAGCTGTTGTTTCAAAGCACTTCTTTGCCCCTAAAACCAAAACTTTTTAATTTTTAATCACTGTGTGATGTGTCACTGTGGTGACTCAGTGGCTGGATCGCAACAACTACTGGATGAATTATGACATTTTGTACAGACATTTTCTCACAGGATCGATTTTAATAACTTTGATTAACCTTGAGTTCACGTTAAACTTTTAATTTGCTTTAAATATTAGTTTGTGATAAACTCCTGCAGAGCTGATGAATTTCCCTTTAGCTCATAGCTCTGCTGTAAGTTTTTGTGTGTTGCCGCTGAGCCTGAACTATGAGCAGTAACCTCTCAGAGGGCGGCATGATTTTATTTAATTAATTAATCGGCAATCAGATCAGACAAAATAAGGATTCTGATTATTAGAAAAATGTCGTGTATTGGATCTGATTATCAGCTGACGCCTCGTTTAACGGACAACAGAACATTAGCTTGTCCATACAGAGCTAATTTCAGTGACAGAAACAAAAGCAGTGAGTGGTGAAGTGTAGTCCAACCTAGTTCCAGTTTGTTCTGTACATGACTGTGAGTTTGATTTAACAAATCTAGGTTTTTTGTTTTTTTTTTAAATCTGGCTCTCAGCTGCTCATCTTCAGACGAACAAAAGCAAAAAACAGAATGTGAGTGTCTGGTTTAATTCAGGTGTTTTATGTTTCTCAGCAGGGAATGAAGGAGACGACCTTCATGTGAAGTCAACACTGAATCCACATCCTGGACGATGGACGTGCAATACACAACGATTTCCGACACCTCTGGAAACACCTCTACATTCCAATGTTTATTAATGCACAAATAAAGATATATATTTATTGATGTCACCGCAGTGAACGCTGTCTCCTGTGTTTTCTTTCAGAGCCAATGAAAATATTAACACAAAAACGTCATAGTATACTAAGGCATAAAAAGTCAAAAAAATTTCATAGTAGTAAGTCATAAAAATGTTGTAGTAAGGCATAAAAAGTCAAATAAAGGTCAGTATAGTAAGGCATAAAAAAGTTTTAAAAATGTCATAGTATAATAAGGCATAAAAAGTTAAAAAAAATGTCATAGTATAGTAAGGCATAAAAAGTAAAAAAAAATGTCATAGTATAATAAGGCATAAAAAGTCAAAAAAATCATAGTATAGTAAGGCATAAAAAAGTAAAAAAAAGGTCATAGTATAGTAAGGCATAAAAAAGTCAAAAAAAAGATCATAGTATAGTTAGGCATAAAAAGTCCAAAAAACGTCATAGTATAATAAGGCATAAAAAAAGTTTTAAAAAATGTCATAGTATAGTAAGGCATAAAAAGTCAAAAAAACGTCATAGTATAGTTAGGCATAAAAAAGTTTTAAAAATGTCGTAGTATAATAAGGCATAAAAAAGTCAAAAAAAAGATCATAGTATAGTTAGGCATAAAAAGTCCAAAAAACGTCATAGTATAATAAGGCATAAAAAAGTTTTAAAAAATGTCATAGTATAGTAAGGCATAAAAAGTCAAAAAAACGTCATAGTATAGTAAGGCATAAAAAGTCAAAAAAACGTCATAGTATAGTAAGGCATAAAAAAGTCATAGTATAGTAAGGCATAAAAAGTCAAAAAAACGTCATAGTATAGTATGGCATAAAAAGTAAAAAAAACGTCATAGTATAGTAAGGCATAAAAAAAGTAAAAAAAAGGTCATAGGTATAGTAAGGCATAAAAAAGTAAAAGGTCACTAGTATAAGTAAGGCTAAAAAGTAAAAAATACGTCGAGTTAGTATAGTAGGCTAAAAAAAGTACAAAATCATAGATAAGTAAGGCATATAAAAAAAAAGTCATAGATAGTTAGGCAAAAAAAGTTTTAAAAAGTAGTCATAGTATAGTAAGGCATAAAAAAGCCAAAAAAAACGTCATAGTATAGTAAGGCATAAAATATAAAAACTCTGTAATAGTAATCAAAAGTAAAAAGTTCAAGTATAGGCACTAAAAGTTTTTAAACTCATTAGTAAGAAGGCAAGTCAAAATCAAGTTAAGGCAAAAAAAGTAAAAATGCAAAAGTATAGTAAAGGCATAAAAAAGTTAAAAAGAAAGTATAGTAAGTAAAGTCATAGTATAGTAGCATTAAAAAGTTTTAAAAAGTAAAGTCATAGTAAGCTAAATGTATGTAAGGCATAAAAAGTAAAAATAAAGGTCATAGTATATATAGAGCATAAAAAGTCCAAACAAATACGTCCATTGTATAGTAAGGCCATAAAAAGTGAAAAGAAAGTCCATCAGTTATAGTAAGGCATAAAAAAGTCTAAAAAACGTCATAGTATAGTAAGCATAAGTTAAAAAGTCATAGTATAGTAAGGCATAAAGTCAAAAAAAAAGGTCATAGTAATTAGTAAGTGGCATAAAAAGTCAAAAAAAGTATAGATAATAGCATAAGTAAAGTCATTAGTAAGTTAAAAAAGCATTTAAAAAAAAAAAAAAGTTTTTCCAAAAAAAGACAAAACAAGATAAAAAAAGTTTTTTTAAAGTTAAAGTAAAGAAGGCATAAAAAAAGTAAAAAAAAGAGGTTCATAGTATAGTAAGCATAAAAAAGTAAAAAAAAGGTCCATAGTTTAATAAGGGCATAAAAAGTTTTAAATAAAAAGTCATAGGATAAGTAAGTGCATAAAAAAGTCATAAAAAACTTCAAGTGATTAGTAAGGAATTAATAAAAAAAAAGTTTCATTTATTAAGACAAAAGTAAGTCAAGAATAGTTAAGGGGCATAAAAAAGTTTTAAAAAATGTCAATTAGTATAGTGTAAAGGCATAAAAACGTTTCAAAAAAACTTCATAGTATAGTTAAGGCATAAACAAGTCATATATTCAAAGTAAGCTATAAAAAGTAAGCAAAAAAGGTCATAGTATAGTAAGGCTATAAAAAGTTCAAAAACAACGTCATAGTTATCAGTAAGGCATAAAACCAAATTTAAATGAAACCTCGTTCATACGTAAGTTAAGGCATTATAAAAAGTTAAAAAAAGTCTAGGATAGTAGCTAAGGCAAAACTATAGATAGTAAAGCTAAAAAAACGTCATTAGTAATAGTAAAGGCAAAAAAAGTCAAACGAAAAGGTCATAGTATAGTAAGGCATAAAAAAGTTTAATTAAAGAGTCCATAGTATAGTAGCGCATAAAAGTCCATAAAAACTTCACATTAGTACTACCCCCGTAAGGCACCATCCAAAAAGTTTTAAAAAAAGGTCATAGTATACCATGCCGTCAACGCACAAAAAAAGTCTAAAGAAAAATGTTCAGTAGTATCGTCACAGGCGATTAAAAAAGTTTTAAAAAAAAGGTTTCATAGTAATAGTAGCGCATAAAAGTTTTAAAAAGCATAAGTGGCATAAGTTTAAATTCATAGTATATACTAGTAGGCATCAAAAAAGTTAAAAAAAAAAGTCATAGTAATAGTAAGGCAAAAAAGTCAAAAAAAGTCAAAGCTATTAGTTAAGCTAAAAAGTTTTTAAAAAAAGTTCATTTAGTATACGTAAGGCATAAAAAAGTCAAGTATAGTAAGGCCATAAAATAGTTTTAAAATGTTTCAATAAGAATAGTAAGGCATAAAAAAGTTTTTTTTTAAAAAACGTCATAAGTATATCGAGCATAAGAATAAGGTCAAAAAAAACGTCATAGTATAAGTAAGGCATTAAAAGTCAAAAATCCTAGTATAGTAATGTCTAAAAAGTCTGTTTAGGTCGCCAATAAACCCGGGGGCACGTTTTCGACTGTTGAGGAAGGATATTGACTGCTGAAGGAGAAAGTTTCACACAGCTCGTACACTTCGTAATGGAGTTAAATTTGAACCTGTAGTGTTGGTAGGACTTTTCCTACCACTACGTTATCATCTTACCTGTCAGTTTGAAGCTGTCAAGTTGTCTTAGATAATGTATCAGTGGAAAAGCCGTAAACACAACCAAAACAAGGTTGATCAACAAAGGAATATGTCAGCTTCCTTAATGATCCGAAACATCCTGCATCAAGAAACTGACTTAAAACAGAATTGTTAAGTGAACAAAGTCTTTTTTTATTACCCCAGTGGAACTTCTAAAGAAAGTGATTCATCTGTTCAAAATTAAAAAATACATTTACTTATGACAGTATTGAGTGGTGATGCATTCACTTGGCTTTAGGAAAAAACAAACCAACTACATACAGTGAATGGGCAATACTCTTTAAACTGAAGGAATAGAATAGACAAATCACCTTACTTGCTCCAACTATACTGAGGATTGTGGTCCCTGTGAGCTTTGTTTATATCGACATCTGTACAGTTTTGTTCTGGTCCATTAACCAGAACCCACTGCCAACCAGTCTTTCATAAGAAACTCATTTCCTTCTGGCGGTAGAACATTTAAGTGAGAGCAGTGAGGTCCAGAGCACACAGAGAAGTTGTTTCTGCGGAAAAGACTCTTCAACTGCATTTCTTCTCATAATATTCTAGACCCAACTCCAGGCCAGGCCTCCCCACCTCTATGGTCCATGGTATGAGAGTATAGTATTGTAGAGTTAGCAGAGAACAATTTCTGTAGTGAGAGATTTATTACCTTCCTAACCTATTATTTTATAAAACTCAGGATAAAACTGTGGTTAACTATAATTCAATATAAAAACGAAGTCTGTAAAAAAACTAAAAAATTAAAAATTGTGTCTGTACTCAGCCTGAATGTTCCACATGTGATGGCGACCATACTCTGTGTCCTCATCTCTTCTAGAAGCGAGAGCGGAGCGCAAGAACAGTTTTCCAGTCAGATGATATGTGGCCGTTCTCTATGCAGTTGGCAGCTGATGGTGGGTGTGGCGTGCCAGCTGCGCTGTGGCTCACTGAAAGCGAGCCTAAATAAGGAGTTCCGCGCGAGCATTAACACGCTGTAGACATTGGTTTGGGGGATCCTCTCACAGAGGAGGCCTTGTTCACCTTCCTTCGACAGGTTTTCACCGAGGGGTAAAGACTCTGTGGATGCCACAGACGGAGGAGAGAGAGAGAGAGAAGAAGAGAGAGAGAGTTCTGCTGGACGTGCTGGAGTGACTCATGTTTCACTTCCAGTATGGAGCTGGGACAGTTGAAGGTGTTTGTCAATACTCCTGTGTTTCTGGCCAAATTCAGACTTAGTAACCAACTTGAGATGAAAGACGGCAAAAAAAACACTGTCCGGATAAAAACCTTCATCGCGGCTGATGAAGGAACTAGCCTCGACAAAAGGGATTTCAAAATACCACAGACATATAAAAAATACTTAAATAGAGCTTGAAGCTGCTGGATGAGGCATTAAACTGGCCACATCTGTCACTGGTTGCTGTGGTGCTGGGACATCAACCGAGTGACTTGACTCTGAATAGGTTAGGGGGTAAAGCTGTGATTACAAATCACGACTGTCTGAACGTGTTTGCAGGGAATCCCAAATAAAAAAAAAAGTTTATGATTTCACATAAGTTTTATAGTGAAACGGGCTGCAGTGGGTGCTCATAAATAACAGTGACTAATAGCACTTCTTCATCTTTGGCAAGAGCAACTATTATTCTTTCATTTTTGTGTTTCCTTGTTGTTTTTTTGCAGAAAAATTCTTCATTGGCTAAAAAAAAAACTTTCTGAGTGGACTGAGAATTATTTTTTAACCTCTGGATGCCATAATCAGCAAGAATCAGAAACTTTATTAGAGGATCACATAAGGTGGTCAGCGAAGACTGCTGAGGTTTTCTTTTAAACCTTCAGTATCCTGCTAAACTACTTTACCAGAGTCGAGGTCTTGAGCTCCCAGTGTTCAGACCAAGGACAACTGTTACTGGTTTCAAAGGAGGTTTTTTTACTTTGAGTTTTACGGAAGGGCGCCCTTTCGTTACAAAAAACTACAATAGAGTCATAGAGTCTTGCTACAACTATCTGAGTCCTGAACACAGTCCAGTTGCTCGAGTCCAAGCAGTCTGATCTCGCGTCTCAGTCAAGGGTTTAAGTGTCGAGTCTGAGTCCTGGACTCGGTCTGCACACTGACTGAGACGAGCATTTTATCTTTTTTTAGACTCATAAACTTTCATGAATTAAACTTCCAAATCGAGAACAAAAAGAAAAACAAAAACCAAACACAATGAAAAAAGTTGGACAAAGTGCGAGAGCAATCCGCTGAGCTCAGAACAGGTCTTAGTGGTTATTAGCTGGGCTTGCAGCTTTAGTCGCCGTTGCCTTTATAAACTAACGTGTGAAAAAAAGTTTAAAGTTTTGTCTATAAAATTCGGTCAAAACAGAATTCAGGAAGAGTTTTTTAAAACTTCTGGCTGCTGGAGGTTTCCCGTTCTGGTTTTAAAATGATTAATAAAAGGTCAGATATTTTTGTCAGTCACATCATCAGAGCTGGTACTTGCTTCATCTTCACTCATGGTAGTTTATA